CACACACACATATTCAACACCTCAGTTTACCATAGCCAATCCACCTACCAGCACGTTTTTGGGAGGTAGGAGGAAGCCGGACAATCTGAAGGAAACCCACATGGACATGGGGAGGAACATGGAAAACTCACAAAAGTAACCCAATCCCAAGATTGAAGTGTGGACCCTGGAGCTGTCAATACTCTCTAGGATGCCAATGTGCAGCCCCTACATTCCTACTCAAAAACCTTCCTTCCACTCCCTTCCCCTTTACCCTCCATTTTTCCTACATAATCATTGAGAAATGCCTTCTACTCTGTGTAATCTCTGAAGTGTTGTCCCTCAAAGGGCATACAGAAATACCAAGTAGAACCAAAATATTTCCAAGTTCAGTCATTATAAGGTGAATCATTATGCTTCCTCCACCAGAGAAAATGTTCACTGCATTGATTGCAGGATTGTTGTAATGTGAAGAGTCTTTCATGAGTGAGTAATAGATTTTCTCAGACTTTTCTTTCTCAGATCTTTCAAAATCTGAGAATTTTCCTGAAAGACTATTGAAAGCAGGGACTAAATGGAACAAAAGGTCAAACATGAATTAGAAGAAGATTCTCTTTTGCTCTTGGTCGGATGAGAAGCAAAGGCACTGGTTAAACCATGAATTTGCCAAAGGCTTTCAAATAACCCATCCAAGTGAATCTAATTAAGGACCCTTTCATTCAATTTGGAAGAGTCCACCATAGAGAGCAGCACTTGAAACGGCCACCAGCTCCCAAAACACAAATGTACATGCAATCTGGAGCTCGGGTCTGTATGATCAAACGGGATAAATTAATTTGAAGCTGAGGGCTCTCACCAGAGGTATGCCTTGTGTTCTGTTGAATTGAGTCCATCTGATTGGCTCCCAAATTGCAGGGAATGCTATGATTACATAACCACCCAAGTGTGCTCAAGTACATGCCTGTTTTTGCGTGGGCAAAGCTGGCACAACCATCCTATAATACACAGGTTCAGATTTTTCAGACCTTCCAAATGGATGCAGAGCACAAGGGTTTTTAAGGGGTTCTAAAAGGCTTCTTGCTGTTGTTATGAAATGCTTCAAATCAGAAAACATGAGCTAACCGATTTAAAAAGTACACATGCTAGTCTTAGAGGATATTCCAACCTGCTAACAAAAAAGCTAGAAAATGAAGCTTTTAGTGTGTTTCAGCTCTTACTGTGTGGGTAGAAGTGGATAAATATTTGAAGGTCAGGCTTTGACCAGCTGTGTCCTGTGGGTGGACAGAACAACAAAACAGTAAAAGGAAGTGATGTCACATTTTTCAGCGCTGTCTTGCCTCCTCGTTTGCAGTAACTCATTCCAGGGTGGCTGCCCGCACTGCCCTTGTGTTGTTCTCTAGCCACAAGTTTATGATAATCTTAATAAATTATGTGGTGCACAGACATTAAATTGTGCGATTGCCACTAAATCACATGGAGTGTGCCTCTTGGGTAGGACAGCTCCATCTCTCTCACTGTCTCAGCCTTTGTAAATTTGGACAGTATTAATGATAATTTAAAGTGTCCATGATAATCATATTCCATGCTGAATATCATGATGTGATGTCTAACTGAGTAGCATGCTTATCACTTGGTATATCACCCTTATAACTTTATAACTGCCATTAAGACTTAATTTTTTACCATATAGCTGGCCAAATATGGCTAAGTCTAGGCATGTGATTAGTGTATTGTGGGCCCAGGGGAGGAAAATTCATAAATTTATTAGCTAGCTCACTGGGTAACGTGAGAGCACTCATGTGTTGTCCAGTCTCTTGTTTTGGGTACCTGGGAAATCTAATTGATGAGGCTAAAAATTGGTAGCTAACGTAATATAATAACATATGGCAGGACAGTTAGCTTTACGACAGTGCGCTAATACAGATTAAAAGAACGAGGATACAATGACGCTTGCTCCCTTGACCAAAAGTCAGCAAGTCATAGGCCAGTGTTTCAGTTATGAGATGTCCTCACATTGCATGTAATAGATATTATTCGAGGCTGGCTAACATATAGTTATATAATGGCTTTGTGCTGGACCAGTCAGTGTTTCCACATACCTGCATGTTCCAGATTCCAAAAAGATTGTCCGTCATCTGTACACACTAATTAATCCGAGTAGTAAAAATCGTGCCACCATCAGTCAGAGCGCACCGATGTATGTAGTGCAGCAGGTGCTGGAATTCAGAACGAGTAGCTTGTGCTATAGCTACAGAATCGAGGTACATCACATCACCATGAAGCTTGCTTTGTTTAAACATAGCTACATACCAAATGAAAACGTCTGTTTTGTGAAAGTCTATAAAGGAGTAGGTTTTTTTTTTTCTTTTTTCTGAGGCTTGATCCTACTTGTACTGTAATTTCTGGTCCATGTCATGCTTGAGACATGGACTCATCATGGCTGAGCTGTGGCTGTGATCTGGCAGACAGACATGGATAAGATAATTGTCATTTCATGGTTTATGATCCAGATTATCTTTTCACTCCCTCTTACACTTTCATTCTTTACTTATGCTCTGACTACATGTATCTGAATATTTTTCAAAACACAGAGTTTTTCCATGTTTTTGCATCCTGTCCATACAAAATGGCACTTTGGATGAGTTCTGTTTTCAAAATTATTATACCTTCTGCACCTGAATTTGTACCATTCCATGGTACAAATTTCACTACAAATGAAAAATCAGGATAAGATATGACCAAACATTTTGCATTCACATGTAACCCTAAGTAGTAGTTTCACCTCATCGTCTTTCCACATATCTGAACCCTCATGTGCGTCATTTTCCTTTTTTTTTTGGCCGTGTTAGTGTTTTGCCACATGTCGCTCAATATACAGCTCTTAGCATTATTATTCTTGAGGTGTTTGACAAAAGTTTATGACGTACTACCACCACCTACTTGGCCGGCGTGCTCATATTTCTGTTAACGCTGTTCATGTGGATGGGAATTGTTTTGAAAACAGGTGCAAAAAATATCTTTTCACACTTATGGGGGCTTATACTCCTCAACTGACCCTTCATCTCTGCAGAAAACACACCTGCCCCTCATTTTGGGTGCCTTTTCCTGTTTCTGTTGTGCATTCACCTTCGTGTCTTCTTCAATACAGTTTTTTCCATTATAACACATACAGCAGCGGGGAAGGGGTGAAGAGCTATTTCAGCTCCAATATTTCAGTAATAAAATACAAGCTGTACAGGAGTACCATTATAATGAAATCTTCCTTCGCTCACTTTACAAAGACATGTCATGCATATGAAATCCATTTTTCACAGCAGAACACAAAGACCCAGGTGGCATCCCTGCATTCGTAGTTTGTTCTCAAACACTTGACACAGTTTAGGAGCTTACAGAATTATCCTCAGGTGCAAAACAAGTCTCTTTTGCGGTCAGTAAGCATATGGAAAACTGTCCTTAATCTTCTCTTTGTTTTTTCTACGTTTTTTTTTTTTTTTTCGCTGACCTGATAACCAGATTGGTGGCACACATATTAATCTTCAACAATTACTTTCTCCTGTTGAGAGGATTACTCCATTTTCATTATTTACAGGGCTCAAAGCTACAAAAATCATCAATTTGATAAAAAAAATGTAGAGTCTGGTCTAATGGTGATTAATCTCTCATTTAGGTGGCTTTTTGTTAAAATGGAGCAAAGTTATCATTATTATTTTTTTTTTCTTTTTTCTTTCCCCCAAAGCAAATGGAGCCGTCTAAAATCTGCATGTATTAAGGACTCAAGAGTTAAGCCTTTAATGCAAATGTAACATGACTACAATGGAGAGCACAATCAAAGAGCCATGGTACTGGCCTAATTGCTCACAAGCAAGAAGAATAAATATTGAATGCCTTCAAAACCTTTTGAGGGTTTGAGTCAGTAAACACAAACTACCATGCTGATAGGGGTTCCCCCACATTTCTGTATGTGGATGTATGTAATAAATAAATCATTGGATTTAAAACTTTCATGTCATGTTTAGAATTAAACTAATTCGTATTCGTTCTGAAGGGAAAATGCACGGCATGGTGGTGCACTAGGTTGTGTTGCTGCCTCATAGCTCCAGGGTTCCTGGTTCGACCCTGACCTCGGGTTACTGCCTGTGTGGACTTTTGCACGATCTTGTGTCCATGTGGGTTTCCTCCAAGTTCTTCGGTTTCCTCCCACCTTCCAAAAACATGCTGGTAGGTGGATTGGCTAGGCTAAACTGAATGATTGTGTGAATGGCACCTCACAACAGACTGGCATCCCATCCAGGGTGTATTCCCACCTTTCGTCTGGTGTTCCTGGGATGGGCATCCGATCCACTGTGACCTTGACCCAGGATAAAGCACTTACTTAAGTGAAAATGAATGAATAAAAATAAAGACAAAATGCACAGAGATATAAAATATCATGCCAAACCAGAGTTTATCCTTTATAAACAACTCAAAACCAGCCGACTTTATCGCATACATGCAAATATGGGCAATTTTCAACTGCCCAAGCATTAGAAACGTTTATTATTATTATTATTATTATTGTTGCCATGATTAAGTACGAAATTCTTGTATTTTTAACAGTTTGCGCATTTTTCATGTCCATTACCTGACTTGTGCAGATCAACATCCATCTGCCATTTGTGTGTCACTTCACAGTGATGCCTGACACTAAGATTTTACATTAAGACGTGTGCAACCTCACCTTTCTACCCCAGGAACACAGGTCAGGCTCATATGCAAAAGCAGAGTTCCTGGACACTGGAGACTGAAAGCAACTTAAAAAAAAAAAATTATGACTTGCATTTTTTTTTTTTTTATATTCCTTAAGGCTATCAAAATAAATAAGTTTGATGATACTATTATGTCTTCTTATGAGAATAATTTTTGTTAGAGCAAAGGTGGATAGTTTCTCTAATTGTTTGTAAAATAATAAAACAAATTATTTAACTAATAAAATAAAAATAGTTAAAATAAATTACAAACAATTACACATGGTTTCTATTTGGTCGCTGAAGGACCAGTGGTTGGGCCATGGCGCTCTCATGGCCACAGCCTGGGTTCGATTCCCGGCCAGGGAATGAACCCCAGCCAGTGGGGCTGCACACTCCCAAGCCCAGATAAAATTTAAAATTTTATTTTATTTTTCCCATTCACTTGAAGGTTGCCAGTAAAACTGGAGTTGAGTAAATATGTAAACAGAGGTTTTATTAATTAAATTCTATTTGTTCCTTAACTTTATTTTTTTTAATATATTATTTTCTAAATTATATTATTCTCCAAATAAGCTATTTTCAGCAGATTTAGATTTCCCTTTTCCCCCCAGGTGACTTTTTTGACAAACCGAGGCAACAGGTAAAATACTGACACATCACGTTGCAGGCTAATCAGCTATTCATCATGCATAATTCATGTTCCTAACAATTCAAGGTCTGAAAGTGAAGTCTCTGAGCAGGCACAGGATCCTGCAGCTGGAGGGAGTGAAGATGTAGACCTGCATGACAGGAACCGACAACCCAGCCCCCTTCATCTCTCTGACAAGTTTGCCTCATTATCCTTTTCCACTGTGCTTTTAACACATGTAGAGTTGTAGAGTTGCTGATCAGACCAAACTGAAGATCGCCCTGTTGCAAGGGCTATCAAATGACAAACACCTCATTACTGGTCCCAAAGCAGCTTTGTAAGATTCACAGGGCAATAAATCCTAACCGTGGACATTGTCAGTTCCATCAATAAGGACATCTTTATTGCTTTGCTTTTCAAATCACTCCACATTGTATCCTGGAATTACATTTAACAACCAAGGATGTTCAATTTTTACTGAGCACCTGTTTCACCAAGCGAGCTTCTCTCAAGGTTAGGGCAGAGGAAGCTCTCTCTCTCTTTCTCTCTCCCTAAACACTCTTTATCTGGCGTTTCTTGTCACTCGTGATAAGACGCCGAGGGTAGAAAGGCATCAAGAGAATGCGTGTTTCCAAGACAAAAGCCGAAAGCAAGCCGAAACGTATGTTTGAATCTAGCTCGTTAGTGTGATGTGAAGAGACCCGCAAGTCAGGTGTGTGAGCAGAATACCGAATCTCAGGAGAGAGAGCAGGACTCATCAATCACCGGGTGACTTCGACTCTGCTGCACCACGGAGCAGCCGAACCACATCATGTCCGCCGCAGGAGATGGTGAGAGGATGCAGTAAACAATTCACACTTACAGACAAAATGGAAATGGAAGCACAGAAAATGTCCCTCATTATATTATGACCTATTCATGATTAAGCAGTTGGCTGATTAGGTTTAATCTAAGCATCTAGCAAGACTAATTTCATGCTGCTGCGATAACATGGCATAAACGGCAGTAAGCATCTACCCATGTAATCATATTTATATTTGAAAGGATACAGCGTCCTTCAGAATTATTGGCACCTTCATGACAATGAGCAAAAATTAATAAATCGATACAAAAAAAAAAGAAACAAAACACATTCAATAACTGAGTACAAAAAAGAACATTTTTTAATAATTATAATAATAATAATAAAATTAACATGACCCTTACAATAAATGTCTGTGATGCCTGCTCAGCACTGAGTCTGACACTCTTAAAGGGATCTTGGTCATGCAAGCATATTTTCAGCTTTTCTGTAAGGTTCAAATCATTGCAAAACTCTGATTTTGTTTTTCTTTAACTGTTTTTGAATTGATTAGCTCAGTATCTTGGTGAAAGAGCTGTCTATTTTTGGGCTGAAATGTCCCGGTACATCAATCTTCATAAGACCTCCTGAACCACCAACTCCAAAGTATCACTGATCCAGTGCCGTATATTATGGTGGCTATCAGGTTCTTTTCCCTTTCCCCTTTCACTGATGCTGATGGTGTGCATGACCAATAAGTTTCATCTGACCACAACACATGATGGCAATTGTAATGTGCTCAGGTGTCCAATTTCCTATAGTTTCGGACATGTGAAACTTTTCTTCTTATGGCACTTAATTGTACTTAATCCTGTTTTTAACTGCATATGTCTTTTACCTGATTCGTGCAGGTGCAGGTTCCTGCAAACTCATTTTTTTTTAATCTGTTTATTTGTTTGGCTGATCGATTGACCCCTGCCTGACTAGTGTTTACAACACTTTTCTGGTCATTTGTGAGAAGGGTGCCAGTAATTCTGGAGAGCACTGTAGGTAACCAGATGCCCTCTAACATACCTTGAATAAGATTTGGCCAAAATATATGGTATCATTGCATGTATCATTCTTGATGTAGACAATTCCATAACTGCATTTACCATAACAAAATTCCATTCTGAAAAAATGGTGGCCCAAACTTTCACCTCAAAGCAAGGAGTATGTTTTATAAATGTAAGTGATTTGCTTATTGCATTATTTGTCCGATTTAGAGGGTGCTTGTGGTATCATTCTATGGTTAAAATTAACTAGATAACCTAATTGAACCTCACATCTCATGTAGCTCATTTATGTAGCTAACTTGCTAGATGAATGCCCTGAGGATGCTCCAAGATGAAACCCAAATAAGATGTGGAAACCTGCTATGAAGAATGTCTCGATGAATCAGTCTCAAAGCAAATGAGCCTAATCTGTGGGAGTCTACCACACACTGCTGAGCCCTCTGAAGAGAAAACCGTTTTTTTTTTTTTAGTGAATAAGACAGGAGTTTGTCCAGAAGCCATTCTGTATGGCTGTGAGCTCTCTGTGGCCTTGACCATCTTCCCCTTTCTGTCAGTCCATTTCCCTCACCTGTTTACCGATCTCTCATCGTGTCTATCGGTCTATCATCTTATCCCCCTGCACCATTCAGGTTCAAGACCAACTCTTGTGTCCAAGTGTCTCTGTCACGGCATTGCCAGAAGGATTGGCTACGGCTAATGCTAACATCCCTGCAAGGAGCTGACAGGTTTCCAAGACCCAGAGGGAGGGAGGAGTCACTGCTAGTGCAGCTGAATACAAAAATATGCCATCACCGTAAATATAACCATGAAGGGGTGTCTCGGAAACACATGCAGACAAAAAAAAACACTCATTTCCATACTTAAAGTGTTGTGTTGTATTAAGCATTGTGCATTCAGTAAGGATCTTTAAAATATGGATTTTTAGAAATATTCTTTACAGAATATTTACAAAGAAACTGCTTATTAAAAAAAGGATTCCAACAAAAATTCATAGGTCTGGATCAGAAACATCTTTTTGGCACATGGATGAAACAGCAACAGCTAAAAAGCTGCTGAAAACGAGAGGGCAGGATGAGCTTGTTATAGACATCATCAGAAGGCTCACGTTGCTTGAGGAAGCTTGTTAGTGTAAAGAAAAAAAAAAGAAAGGAAAGCACTGTCCTTTCTGGTAATGCAATCACTACACTAGCAATCTAAAACCCTTATTAAGAACAGATCAAACGGGCAAGAAGACCCAGCAGTCACTGAAGCATATACAGAAACAGTGTTTGAAATCCATATCCATGACTAGCTGTAGAGGGTTAGATGATACCTGAATTATTTATTTCAGTAATTAATAACACTGGTGCAAATGGACATAAGTTCACATTTTAGACTGTGCTTTTTCAGCAGTCTTTTAAGATTGTCACACTGTATGAGAACCCAAAAAACCCAAAAGAACCCAAAAAAAAAAATACTGGCCAAATTCTTTAACAGACTGTAATAACAGAATGTTCTCCATGTCAGATTATACGATGAAGATTCTCTAACGATAGATCTGTGTTTTTTTTTTTAATGACTATGTTCTGCTTACATCAGTCAGCCATTTTCTGTCAATTAGCGCACTGCATTTAAGTTTCGTCATTACCACTACTGCATTTGTAGCTGTCCTGTTAGACAGCTGTTAGACATCCTATTGGTGGCTTTTAGACAAAAGTCGTAGCAGCGTTCACACTGAGATTTTGCTAAAATATTTCTGAACTTTGTCATCGGCTGTCATTGGTCGCAATGGGACTAAACTGGTCGCATCTCAATTCAGGACCAGATATGAATTTTTTTTTTGTCTGGGACAGCAAAATTTGAATAAAAATTGTACAGTGTAACGCTGGCTATAAAATATATGTTGTCAAATTCATTTATCACATTCTTTCGCTAAATGTATGATAACCCAATCTTCTTGGAATAATATTTCACACAAAACTGCTAGTGAGGCAAACAATGAATGAAAGCTAGCTTCATTCATAGTTAATTGTTGTTTTATAGTTAACTAGTTGTTTTCTAGTATCAATGATACTCCACTATTTAACTCACTGTAGACATTGTATTGACTACATTCTGTGTTTTTCAGCACAAGTACAAAGTCTGTCATAGCTCACAACATAAAAAAAAAATGGTTTACATAGTAAATTTGTACAGGTGAACAGTGTATGTGATCATATTTGCTGACGTGACAGCACATATTTATTGCAAATACAGCAGTATTTTTCAAAATGACTCTGAACAAATACAACAAATCACATTCTTTAGCATACCGAAATCAAAACGCACACATTTGCCAGAAATCAATGAAAAACAGTCCGAGCCAAGTAGCCTTAAAAGTATTTGACATTCTACTCTTATAAATATTTCTAGCCTCCAACATGGAATCGACAAAATGACAAAACCAAAATCACAGCACCATTTTTCTAAAAGCAATTTACACTGAGCTCTTTTTTCATTGCCAAACATTGGAAAGGTTTTGGTTACAGAAGTAGCAAGAAGTGTAGAGTCATACCTCACATTCTCTGGAACCGGATATGGAGTATGTGCATGGCCCTGTTCCATTGACCAGAACATCCGTGGCCTCGGAGCTTGAAGGTTTGTAGTCCACATAATACTCCTGCAAGGGGGTGCTGAGCGTACGTTCAGTCTCCCTAGACTTTTTCCGACGTTTGCGGGCAGCTGAAGTGTTTTCCTGCAGCTGCTTGACACTGCTCGGATAGCGCTTCCATGACACGTAAATCACAAGGAGAATCATTGCAACGGATAAAAATAGTGCTACGCTCCCTGCCACTATCTTGTGGAAGGACACTGGCTCAAAATCTTGCTCGGGTTGAGAGACATCAGATTGTGGTGGTCTTGAAGGGGTGGGATGTTGCAAGGA